ATCAGATATTTAACTTGGAGTCCCAGAACAACTCCCGCTTTCCCAGGACGTTGCCAAACATGGACGCCCATGCGCGCTGTAGGCGACCCAAAGTGCTCTCGTGGTTCCCTGATGTGACTGGCTGCGCAGACTCGGATACAACAGTCACGCTCGCAATCTGCTTCTGCATGTTTTTGATCTTATCAGAGTTCAATCTCCTCAACTCTGGCGCCGAATTTTCTCTACTGCTTTTCCGCGATGTTGGAGGCGGAGCTGCATTCTCCTCGTTGAACTTGTCGATTAGGTTGTCAATGGCGATATCCTTCCAGAGCTCATCAGGCGGCGGTCGTATGCTGTTGCTTGTATTTGTGTGTTCCCTGAAGCGCGATGCGCGTGGAGGATTCGACGGCGTCTCACTGCCCTCGTCGCTCATGATGCGATAGGTGTGGCTAATAGTCCCGTGAATTCAATCAGTCCGTGCCGCCGTGGTTGCTGGGGAGAACGTGTGATGGCACTGATGGGGGTTTCCTTGCGTGGCCAGCCAGGAGCCAACAAGGTGATGAGGTAGGAAATATTAGCCAGGAATGATGATGAATAGCTAGCCGGCGGGCACGGCAAAAGCAATGGAATCAATCGTGCGAGGAGCCGGGGGAGATTTGTTGGCGCCTTGGTCTCCTTGTCATTGTTTGTTTGGGAGACTGGTGCAGGGGTGATTTGCCAAAAACGCAATTGGTCCCTGCGTTTGTTGGCGTGGGCGAGTGTGTGTTGGCAATCGGAACGACGTTCACGTGTGACACACGTGCAAGAGTGTCACACCCGTCACACCGCACCTTGAGGGGTTTGGAACACGAGTAACCAAGCTGAAGTACACACATGCTCACCCTTCTATTTGTGACGCTATATTCGACAAGCGCCCAACCAGAGACATCAAGACACCACCGCGCTATCTAATGCAGCTCTAAATGCTGACCCTGGGACAACACCAATGCACATGCCATGCAACTCATGCAACCTATTTACAATTTCGCCTTGACCTTGGTCTCCTCCGCAAGCGCCTCCTCGTAGCAGTCGTCGAGATGCTGTCTAAAAGCCTTCGCCGTCTGCGGACGCTTCAACTTCAATCTGTATCCAGGTTAGCACAAGCTTGGTCTCGGGAGTCCTATGCTGATCCAGATAGCACTTACGTGGGAGTCAACAACTGGTTGTCAATCGTGAACGGGTCCAAGAACAATCGCACGTTCCTCACACGCTCGTAGCTGTTGAACTTGTTCTTCTTTCCAATCTTCTCCAGCTCCTTGAGTACCGCCTTCTCCAGCTTCTTGCTACTGAGCACCTCCCTGAGCTTCGCCACATCGCCCTCTGGAATCTTCTCGCCAAGCACCTTGGAGGCGAATTGCGGGAAGAGGTCTGGCGCAACACCGAAGATGGCAACGAGGAAGGACTGGTGCGAGTCGCCATGCACATAGGCCGACGCGAGCCATCCGCAGTTGGCAAGATAGACATTCTCGATGCGCTCAGGCGAGATGTACTCACCCTGCGCAAGCTTGAGCACATTCTTCCTACGGTCGATGACGGCGAAGCGACCGAGTTCGTCGACGGAGCAGATGTCGCCCGTGTGGAACCAGCCATCGGCATCAATGGCCTTCTGGGTCTCCTCGTCGTTGCGGAAGTACTCCCTGAACAGAGTCGTGGAGCGAATAAGCAACTCACCACGTGGGCATGGCTTGTCTGTGGACAGGTAGTCCATGTCGGGCACATCGAGGAGAGCGAGTTCGGAAGTGGGCGCAACACCACCGCAATTACTCGAGCTGAAGTCGCCCTCGTGCTGCACAAGACCCATAGCATACGTCTCTGTGAGACCGTAGCCCTGGGTGAAGTTGCTGGCGAATACGATGCGCAAGAACTGGTGCAAACTAGGGTCGATGGGCGCAGAACCGGTGACAAGAATTTTGCATCGGTCAAGACCAAGTCCAGCTGAGACTTTCTTCGCCCAAATACGATCGTAGAGCATGTGTTTATTGGTAGGATTCTGCTTGTCGTTGATGGCAGCCATTTTTGTGGCCACGACATGACGAGAGAGCGCTCCCTTGACACCGGTAGCCTGAATAGTCGCTTCCTTGATCTTGGATCCGAACCTATTGTACAATCGCGGAACACCAGAGAAGATGGTCGGTCGTAGCGCTTGAAGGTCCTCCACCAACTCTGCAATGTTGCCGTGAAAGTAGCCAATGGCAGCTCCTGTAGCAAGCGCGCTGTGCTCACCCAACCGCTGGTAGATGTGTGCAAGAGGCAGGAAAGAACAGATGACCTGGTTGGAGTCGGAGCCCATGAGCACCATACTTGAGCATGTAGCAGCATGTGCATTTCCATGGGTCAGGACAACGCCCTTGGGATTTCCTGTTGTGCCAGAAGTATAGTTGACCGTTACGGTGTCCTCGGGTCTGGGTGGGTTCATGGGGAGGGGCTGGGTCTCTCCCAAAAGCTCAACATCGCGGATGTAGTGTATGGTGACGCCGAGCTCGCTCGCCAGCGAGTTGAGAAGGTCGCCCTTGGACTCTCCCGGAAGTTCACCTGCAGACAACGGGTCTAGGACAATGATGATCTTGAGTGTAGGGAGACGTGGCTTCAGCTTTAGCAGTGATATGACGTGATTCATGCCAGTGACGACACAAGTCAACTCAGCGTGATTGATGATGTACTCGGTGGTGTCTGGCCCGAGCGTGTCGTAGATGGACACAGTGTAGAGACCTTGTGACATGGCTCCCAAATCGGTAATCTGCCACTCAGGCCTATTTTGACACCACAAGCCAATGCCATATTTGCTAGCCGTGACGCCGGCCCCTCTGTGCAGATGGACCAGCCCGGCGCCAAAGTGTTTCCTCCGTTGTCCGATAGTCTCATAGTCTTCCCAGACATAGGGGCCGAATTTCTTTGTATCGGGATCGTATGGGCGATGGCCAAGGCACTTGTTCTTTGGGTATCTCGCGACTACGATATAAGATTAGTCCGTGCGATAGGAAACAGCTTCGACAGCCTCACCTGAATGCTCGAATGCTTCGTGCGCCGTGGAGATCTGTTTATCCAGTGTCAACACCGTGTGCTAAGGAGCCACCAATTTCCCGGTGCATCTTCAAGTGACCCTACCTCCGGTACCAACGTATCTAGCAGAGGCTTGTCCGCGAACCTCCAGTGTCTGTAAACTGCGCTCCGTCCCGGTGCTGACGAGCCAGGTAGTGGGACACTGTAGGGCTGTCCTTTTGGTGGAGGAGCGTGTAGCTCTTTGGCGCGGGCGAGCTGCGCATCCTGGGTTCCGAACATGATGGTGGCGGATTACTAGATTGCAACGGTAGGTGAGATTTAAGCTGCGTTTGGGAATGCAAGTCCTGGTGGTGGTGTGGTGGTGGTGGCGCAAGCGAGTATGCACACTCTCTCAGGATTTGGCGGAAGGATTCACTGGAAAGTGAAGGGAAAGGTAACCCTTTTCCATCATGGCCATCAGCACTTGTCCAGGTAAAGCAACGGGGTTCAGAGGCGTCGGCGTGGCCGACGAACGCTCCCATGACATACCTGGGGGCTTAGCGCACCACTATTCTGGGGAAACGCAAGCAACAAACCGGGGCCGGCTTCTGGCGCAGCTTGAGGAGCCTTCCGAAACTATAGGAGATTGAAAGATGGGAATCGATAGTCGATAGGCAACAGACAATGGACAATTGACCGGATGGACAATCTGGGGTAACAGAGGCGGGCAAGCACATTCAACAAAAGAGACAAACCAACACGTTAGGATTCCGAAGCAAGGCGGATTCATAAAGGATGGAACCCACAATTGGGCCAGGTCTGCCTCGGCACGTCTGGGACGTGACGCGCCAAACCGGATTCAAAACTGGGCCGAATCCTCTATGCTGAGGCTTTCGGACTCGGATGTCCATGGTTGTTTTGGGACATGTGCCCCGAATGGTCTGTATTGCCCATCCCACCGTATGCAGATGGGGCCTCGTATCCCCGTGATGCCCTCTTCTCTCTTTCTCTCCACAGGTGTTGAAAAGTAGGGGTACACACGTTGGTGGTGGAGAGGAGGACAAAGGTCGTCGGCTGTCGGCTGGGTTTGGCGTCTGTTTGCGCAAGGTTGCAGATGGAAGATGTGCACATGCGCCCATGCGTAACTGACTGACTGCATCATCGTCATCATCTTCACATGCGCGCACATGTGAGATGACTAGGGAGGTTGAGAGTAGAGTAGAGGGCACACCTAGGAGATCTGTGACGGTACGCGGAAGCGGAAGCCAGCGCATGTGCACTCGCGTTTAGTACAAGCTGGCTTGCTATTGGACCGCACCGGCACCGTGCCAGTTGGGAAACATGCCTCGGTATCTTGGGTTGGCTGGGGGGCTATCTGCGTCTGTCGATAGTACGAGAGTCTGATGTATTGCACGGTAAGACTAGAAAGTTCGAGGTTACCCCCACTTCAAGACGCGTCTCTTGATACCGGTACTGATCACTGCGAGCCAGACGCCGAAACCCGTGACGGGGGTAATTCAGTTTACCTCCCTCATTCTTGTTCACAGGAGGGACAAATCCGATGCTAAGAAGAGATAGAAGTGACCCTCCCTCCTTCATTCGTTCGAGTTGAACGGGGGATGCAAAGTCTTGTACTCTATATCACATACATCACTTCTGCTAAGATTGGGCGATATTGGTGATCGCGCAGACTTCCGTCTTTATACCATGAAATCGCGTCTTTGTTTTATTCGTATCAGTCACGAAAAAGCTGTCGTCTAGTAGATCTGGCAAAAGGGGGTGGACTAAACCCATGTCGACGTGCACTGTAGCTCGATACGATGAACACGACGACTCAACCCCCATTCCTTCCATAATTCCCTACAACACCATCCTGCTACGTTTCTCTCCACACTCCCCACAGTTTACAACAACTGCCAACAACCTACCCCTATTCCCTAATTCCCCTCTCGCACTATATCCACTGTCCTACTCACTCGTTACACTCCCCAAACTTCCCTAACTCCCCGCCGCCAATCTCCAACAAACATTCATCAAGGCCGCCGTAGCACTGACATGCGCAGCAGTCCTCGACAGCGTAACATTACCCACATACGACGGGTAATGCACCAGCAACTTGGCAATAACATGGAAGCCCAAGAGATTCACAATCTGCGCATCGTTGGGCGCCGTGACTTGTGCGAGTGCGGCGGTGAGTGCAAAGGCTGTTTTGTATGGACAGGCACGAATTAGCATATGCGTGTTCTTCCTCTTCCTTTTTTTTGAAGCGTGGACATGGAAAGAAGCAAGCACCACTTACCGCCAAAGTTCTCCAACACCGCATAGTGCGCACTGTGAAGTCGCAACGGTAGACCCCTCAGCTCCTGGATGTGGGCGCGGGGATGCTCGACATCGAGGCCCTCGGCGCGGCCCATGGCTTGTCCAGCGGCGGAAATGACGCCCGTTGCGGCAAAGGTCCAGAAGATGTAGAGGGCGGAGAGGGCGGGGATGGCGCGGCCGGATGTTATCGCTGTGGCCTGTGTTGTTGTTTGTTAGGCATGTGTGCATGGAGTGGGAAAGAGAAGAGGAAGAGGAGAAAGGATGTAAATGAAGGCAAAGAACTTACACCAACACCAGGAAGCAATTTTATAAGAGCATGTGTGAGCGATTGTGTAATACTTCCCGGTTTCGTAAGGTACGAGCTGCATCATTACACACATTAGCCAACTTGTGCTTCTTCCTCATTCTTGTTCCTTTTTTTTTCTCCTGCTGTCTCCCACGTCCCTTCTCCCTGTCACCCACGAAACCAAACAAGATCAGGAAGACTCACGTAACAGGTACCATCGCCAAATACGACGGTATAGCCAACAATGTAGCCGCTCCACTTGGATTCTCCCTACAGACATGTCAGCCATCATTCACAAAACCCCTATCCTTTTCAAGACTGGATAGGTAATATTAGCCATATCTCGTCTCCATTAACGAGATCAACAGCCACCCCATCCAACAAGAAATGTATATACTCACACGCCATTCGCAGCCGCCTTACGCTTAGCCTGTCTCTTCTTATCGTCTGCCATTCTGTCCTACTCTTATTCCCACTTCTCTCTTTTCTCTTTCCCAGACTAAAAATCACGCAATCCAGTCGACCCGAAATCTCTCAAAATCTTGTTACAGAAAACAGAAGAACGCAAGATCAACAAGGGAAAAAAAGATCATCGGGCCAGCAGCCATCATCCGACTTTAATTCCCTCTACCACCTACATTGTCTCCCCCTGCGAGCCGCCGGATCCGCGCCCACCCGGGCATTTGTCAACGCCGAGGACGGAGCTAGTGAGGGCTTGGGAAGGTGGGGAAGAAGGGTTTAAGTTAGGTCATGAATTCAGGTGATGCCACGGGTGTTTGCGCATCGATGATTGCTTTGCTTTGCTAAGATGGGGTGTTGTGCAGTGGGTAGCGGACACGTATCCCGGTTGCTTTTATGAGATATGTGATGTGCGTTGGTTGATTCTTGGCTGGGATGTGGATGTAGACTGAGATGCGTTAAAATCGAAGGGGTGGGGATAGGCGGGGTAGCGCTGCAGCGTGGTTGTGGAACGCTGAATCAGTTGGGGGAGGGGAGCTGGGTTGTATAAAAGTGTGAGCTTGGTGTGTTTGTGTGTGACTTGAGATACCTAAATCTTGCTCACGGTTTGATATCCATATGGCTACGAATGGAATAACAATGGCATGCTTTTTTCTTCTACGCCAGGTTTACATCTACATTGAGATCTAGCTGTGTCTTCATGCATAAGTACCCATCATTCTAGATACAATCCATGTCTTCCACCCAAGACTCTACTCAGTAGGGTCCTCTTAGTCCAACCCTCAACCTCCAAGTTATCCTACTTCTTCCTCTGCTTAGCTCCACCCTTCTTCTCACTTCCCGTTGCCTGTGCAGCAGCCTTCTCCTCCTTGGCCTTCTCCAACTTGCCCTGAGCTGGTACTTTCAATTCCTTGTCTCCATCGGCATGCGCAGCAAGTGGCTTGTTCGCATCCTTTTCCTCGACTTCCTCATCATCTCCACCCTGTCCAAATTCATTGACACGGTTGTAGTCAACCTTGTATTTCCATGTCTGGAACAGGTAGACGAAGAATATGACGTCGTCGCGGAGTGTAGCCAGGCGATGCAGCGTGGGCATCTTGATGGTGAAGGCAAACAAGTCGTCAATGAAGGTGTTGAGGAACTTGTAGGTCATGGCCCGCCCGGGCATGTGTGCCACAGATTGGAGACGGTAGTTGATGTAGAGGGCGGGCACCATCATCAGGAAGCCATAGGCATAGACGGATCCGACAAGAGTGGTGATGATGAATGAGTACCAAGACTTGTGTGTCTCATACATGAGGGAGTAGATGGCATACGCCACGAGCAGGGGTACGGCGACCATGTAGAGGTAGCGGAAGGCGACAGCGTCATATTCCTCCGTCTTCTTCTCCGTCTCAGAGAGCACGTGTTTATCCTCAAAGACGACGCTGTAAGGAAGCCAGGAACCAGGAGGAGTAGGGCGCACGCGGACATTGACAGACTTGGTGATTTTCCAAGCTTCGATAGCCATGCCCATGCCCTGGCCAAAAAGGATCATGTACGAGGTGTTTTCGTTATTGTCAATCAAGTAGAGCAAGATGACGGCTTGCATGAAGACATTGGCAATGATGGTTCGGACAGATGTACCCACGTTGTCCTTCTTCTTGCGCCAATGCTGAACGTCGTTCTTGAAGGCCAGCATCTCGAAGATCATGTGGAAGATGGAGACGACCGCAGTGAGGGCAAGGAGATACGAGTTACTGTCGATGAGAATCTCCTTGAACATCTCAATCTCAGATCCGTCGCCGCCTCCAGTAGTAGACTGGCCAGCTGCGGCTGCTTGCGCATTGGCATTCAGGTTTTCGTCCACGGCGGCAAAGATGTTGAACTTCCAGTGAGCCAGATTGTTGAGCTTGACGTGGAGCGGCAGAGTGGTGACGGTGTCGTTGATCTCAATCATGTGCTTCTTGAGTTGCCAAAAGGTGTTTGTGAAGACAATGGGATAGTACCAGCCATTCATGCCGGTAGCATCGCGTGCGCCAGTAGCCTCGAGTGTGATGTACTTTCTTGGTCCAGGATGCAGGTTGGCGTAGGCAAGAGTACCAGCGTCTGGAATCAAGGAAATGCTGAAGTTGGAATGATAGTAGGATGCAACAATCTTTGGTTGCGCCTTCTCCTCCTCAGTCTCCACCTCGGCCCTCT